TCAAGAAGTATATTTTTTCGCCTATTGCCACAACAATGCTTACTGGTGATCTGAAGCGAGAATACGCTGACTGAAGAAAATATTGACAAACCATTCTGTTTCTCATGCCTGTTCTACCACATTCCAGACAAATAATAATGAAATATGCGATGAAGATAAGCTTACTTTAGATTAACTCAAAGAGCGATCGCATCTGAATTTGATTCATTAGAAATTTGTGATGAAAAAACTATTGAAACTACTTTAAACTGTATCAAGAAAATAAACATTATCTGTGAAGCTAGCAAGAAGAAAATGTTGGAAAAACAATTTGTACCTTTTACTTTCGACAGAAAAACGTTGAAAATAGAACGCTGAATTTCTCTTAGTAAAATACATGAATGAAATCTGATACATGAGTCAAAACAATCGCCCAGCTCAAGCTGTGTTTATTTCTAAATTTATATTACAAACACATATACACAATCATCATTTTACGGAACATAGATGTAGATATGTAGATATATAATATAATATAGAATTTAACATTTATGGTTTTGCACACACTTAACAGTGCATAGGAAAACGCCTGACATGTTCAGTAAACTCAGAAACCGAATAAAAACAATGTTGCAGAAGAAAATTTTAATTTTTTTTCTTGAATAAAGGGGAGCTAAGGGTCTTTATTTCTGTTGGTAACATGTTATGAAGATTGTAGTCCAAATAATTCTTCAGGGAACAGAAAGCCGGTATTTTGGTAACCTAATGAAGTTTGCTTGTCTTGTACTGTAGTCATGTATTTGAGATTGTCTAGTTTTTCTCTCAGGGAGTATCCGATATATATTGACGAAAGCGGTAGTATTCTGAATTAAACAAAAAGAGGGCGGCAGTGTTCTTTGAAACCACAGTTTGCCGAAATTCTCAGAGCTTTTTTTTTGTTCTCGAAAAATGTCTACAAATTTAGAGAAGCCACCCCATCTGACAACGCCATATGGTATATGTGCATGGAATATTGCAAAATACGTACTTTTCAGAGTTTCAGCATTAACATACGATTTGAGCTGACTTAGTAGAAACAAAGTGCTCGAAAGTTTTGGTTCAGTCGCTCTATATGAAGGTTTCACTTTAGTCTGTCAAACCCAGCAGCTTAACGAATTTGTTATCGAGTACAGAATAGTTTCTCGGAAAAGTTATATTTTGGATTTTATTGTCATGTAAACACAATACAATACAAATACAATATTTTCAACAGGACGGCGCTTCTACCCATAATGCAAGAACATTTATATATATGCAATATTCTCAAGAAAATGAATTGGAAACAATGGACCAATTAACTGGCCAGCTCGATCCCCAGATTTTACTCTTTTAGATTTGTTTTGTCTGGGGATACATAAAAAATAAAGGTTTTTCAACACCAAATACAGATATCGACCATCTCAAACAAAAGATAAGAGATGCATGTATTAGTATTACACCTATTATGCAATAAAATTGCCACAGAAATTGTTTGGACCGACAACTTATATGCATTCAACAAATAGGTAGTCAATTCGAGCATTCAATGTAGATTACCATGTAGTTTTGATTTTCCGTATTGGTTTCATTTTTCCCAAAAGTTCACGATAAAATAAATTGTTTTTTTGTTTGAATGTTGTCACTAATGATGGTGGTTATTTCAAATCAAACGCTATAAACATATTAAATGTGATACATCCTTGGATTCAAAAAAAGACAGGTCCGTAGGTCCGTAGGTCATGTTACCACATGATAAAAAAACGGCCTATATAACACCAATTTCGGAATTAACAAATTTGTAAATTGTAACATTTTTTCTTTTATTTCAAGAATCTACTATTTTTTCTGTAGTCTGTGTGTCTATATACATAATTAAAAATTAACATCTAAACACAGAAAAAAATGGAAAAATATTCAGACACTTGCTCCAAGTTGTTAATTCTTCGAAAAGGGCTCTATTTTCAGTTGAATGGTCTGTTACACAGTCACAAGAACTTGACTCTCATTTCATTATTTTTCTTTAGTGATTAGACAACCAAGGAGTAAACAACTGATTAGTTATCTTCCATCAATTATCTTCATTTACACAAAACCAAATATACTTTGACATGATGCAGAGCAAGAGGCCATTTGAAAAGTCTTCACAGTGTTCAGTTCATTCAATAATTACAAAGTTGAACCAATATATGAATATTCAACAGTTTTATTCTAAATCAGTTGAGAAAAACAACAATTCATGCTTTATTTTTAAGAACACGTTCAAACAAAACCGATAAGTCGCATGATTAGCAATAAACAAAATGATGAAAATGTAAATGAACGCGGATAATTTCCGTATGAAAAAGTTGGTTATTCCTAAGCATGTGACTACAATTATTATTTCGAAAGTAGGTAGGTAGGTATACATATTCTGTATGTTATTGTATACAGAGGTTAACAAAGCATAAAACCAGTAAATCCTAATTGTTAACTTAATTCATAATTGACCGCAACCCTAACATTCTTAAATTACGGTTTTATCGTTTCATTCTACTTATTTTTATTTTCGTAGATTTCACCTTTCATTGTTAACTGCGCTGCTGCAACTCCAATTGTGATAATGGATTTAAAATGTTCAATTTACTTTCATTTTTTGTGAACTAACTTCCTTGACTCGAGAGCATTCAATGTCGTGAATGGTTAGAGGGAGGATATTATAAAGAATCGTACTGGCAACTTATTCAGAAAGACGTAATCGTAAGAAAAATATCATCAACACATAAAACGAAATGAAAGTCATAACTGGCGCCAGGTATCAGGCATATCAAATCATTTATGATAGAATAAGCAACATAGGTATAAATTATTCAGATTTAAATGTAATCAGTTAGTTTTGAAAATGGTGTAATAGCCGAAACCGGTCAACAATAAAGAAATATAGTGGAAAATAGACAAAAGTGTGTTTTTGTAGTGTATCCTCAGTTATTTTTATTGATGGAAACGTAATAAGTCATAATCAACTATGAAATTAACATTTGAAAAGCTAAATCATCCATATATTCTCTTAATTACCTATAAAAAACTAAAAAAATACAAACATCTGAATCGCCCCAATTTTTGGAGTTAATCGGATCGTTCACAACAAGTAACTAGATTTTGAGTTCCTTAACACTTGCTGTTGAATCAGTAAAAAGTTAATAATGAGATCAATTTCAATCATAAGGACATATATCACGTATATACGGTTACCCCCCCCCCATAACTATACGAGTTCTCTTAACAATTGGATACTTCAAAGGTGATGGAAAATTTTTTTTAATTATTTCTGAAAACGCGAGAGACTGGGCTTCGTCAGACTGTTGCAAACTTGTGGATGACAATATATCAAGTGGTTTTGTATTTGTGACTTGGACTTGTACCTTTATTTTTGACTATACTTGTTCTACACTTGTGGAATGGTCTTGTGAATGCACTTGTAGAGAACTCTTGGATTGGACTTGGGGCACATGACAGTCTCTCTGTTTTGCTAGTGAACTCTTAATTTTTATGACCCAGCCATTTTCTTCAGTACCAGGTGGCATACCTAGGAGAAAATCGGCTTCCGAATAGTTGATTTTTAATTTCTTTGCATGAAGCGATGAAACCAATCCTGGTTTCCAGCACCTCTGTGCTGGAACGACTGGGACCGCGTACCAGCACCTCCAGTCGTTCCAGCACCTCTGTGCTGAAACGACTGGGACCGCGTACTTACGTACCGCTTTGGATGTAATTCCGAATCCACGACTTGCCAAGTGCAATAACCGGTTAGCTAACTTTTTTCAGCGTTCTCATCTGAAGTTGGCTGTCCACCTCGGCGCTTAATAACACCACGGCATAAAGAAACTCTTCTCTGTAAGCTCGTGAACGGTACTGCAAAAATCTCAGCAGCCTGATTCGCCTTGGTCGACCCTATTCATTGTAATTTGGTTTATAAAAGTCTATTTATGTTTTGAACAGAACAAAAACTCTTGAAATCATTAAATTAAACTTACTTTAACATCACATACGATATCAATTCGGAAATTTCAGTGAGAATATTTCACATAACATTCGTTCAACTCTCCTTGTCTTTACATGCAGTATTCGTACAGTGTGTCTGCTTAAGTTCGCACCACATGAAAAACTATTTATTATTTAATTCTCTATAAGAAGTTCTGCATGATCTTGAACCTGAAATGCAACCATCAGATATTAATTTTTCTCAGTCGTATATGCGCTTTCCAAAAAAAAATGAATTTGGCTCAGGAGTTAATTACTTTCATTTTTGACAATATGGAAAATTGTTAACGAGAAAAGTTGATCGGAGCTGAAAACTACATTCATATATGCAATCACATCCAATTACATGGATTTTTTTATCCGTAGTTACGATTCACATGTAGTTACCTTAAATCTAAGATGCACTGATGAATAAATAAATGATTTCTTGATATCAAGAATTTTTTGATAGCGAACGTTGAATTAAATGTGTTAACATGCCGGTGCCAGTGATATTTAGTGTGAAAGAAAAAGTAGAAATTGTGTTAATCGTTGGTGATAGTTATAAAACTTATCGTGAAGCAGTTGGAATAGTCAACAACAGACATCCAGAGGAAAATATACACCATAGATAGGGTAAAAGAGGGTAATGGGGGTCACTTAAGCGAGAACTCGAATGAAAGTGGAATCATAAACAAACTATTTATTGCAACCGCCTTTAAACATCATATACTTGATTAACTATCATTAGAAATAATTATCAGCCACTCTGGCAATCAACTTTGGATATTATAAAATTAATAAAAAAAAACAGTTTTGACTCCCATTACACCAACATGCAGGTAATGGTGGTCACCCTGGGGTCAATCGGAGTCAAAGAAAACCTAGCACATATCGCAGACATAACCTTCAGCTAAGTTACATTCAGTGCATTTCGCGTGAGCCCATAGCCCACATGAGGTGCATCTGAACCACATCTCGTTATTCTTTCCAAAATCGTTGCATACCAGGAATCTGTTTTCAGCATCTTCTGCGTCAGTGTCAACATCTGATACACAAGTTTCATTTGCTTCTTGTAGTACTTGGCGATTTGCATTTTCAGGACCACTCTTCTGTATTGCAGTATTTTTTCCCTGACCTGTACCTTTCCATCCCTTTTCTTTTTCTTTATCCCCTGATTTTTTCATTTCCTTATTTTCTTTTTCTAACAGCTTTCCTTTGATTGGCGTTGAAGTTAAAATTGTAGCGTGGTGCTTCTTTCGGCCTTTTTTGTATTCATAACAGGTGTTTTATCTGGCAACTTGATCAAATCATGCAAATCAGCACTAATTTGATTTGACGTGCCAGCTGCTGGTGATATAATATCTGGTTCTGAATCAAGTGGGCCTACTCGTTCAGACATCCCAAGAACCGGTGGATAAATTTGTTTTGAAGTACTCGGAACTGGTGAGTGAAATTCTTTTGATGTGCTGGGAATCATGCTGGTAGCTGCGAGAGTTTCATTGCAGTCTTGGATTATAATAGTGTCAGATTGGAGAGTTTCTGCAGCGAAGAAATCTTCTTCTGTGAATACTTCCGAATTTAGTGGAAATATTCCAGTAGCTCTAAAACCCGATTCTCCTTTACTAATAGACGCAACATTATTAAATGCTTTTCTCACCAACGATGCTACGTCATAAGGTGTTATCTTTTCTGCAAGATGGCTTTTCAAAAATAAGTCACATTCTTTTTTATATGCCATTTTGAGCGGACCAAAAAAAGAAACGTCCAGAGGTTGCATTCTTTGTGACGTGTGTGGTGGCAGAGACAACATATGAATATGATTGAACTTGCAATATTTGTAGATGGAAAGAGAAATGTGACTAGCATGGTTGTCTAGTATTAAAAGGATGGGTTCATCTGCAGACGGCTTAGCGTGCTGTTTAAAATGCACCAACCATTCAAGAAAGAGATTCTCAATAATCCAACCGTTGTCCGAGCATTTGTGAAGCGCTCCTGCTGGACCATCCTTCTCGAGCAGTGAAGTCAACCTTTTTCTGGGGAAAATGAACATTGGTGGAATGTAACCGCCAGCAGCGCTCATAGCACACATCAAAGTGATGTTTTTTCCTCTTTCCCAACTGGCTATCGATTCCACTCTCTTCTGTCCTTTGGTAGCCAGAATTTTTCCAGGAGTTTGAATTGTTGAAATACTCGTTTCGTCGCTATTATAAACATTTTTTGGAACAAATCTATGTTTTTCCATCAGCTGGCCAAGTAGCTCGAAGAACAGACTTATTTCGTCTGTTCTTCCTAGATGTGGTCCTAAGGTAGAACCTTCTTTTATCCTCTTTTGGAGGCTTGAAAAGGAGATTCCCATTAACTTGGCAGCATGTCTCATAGAAGAACCTCCTTCAACAAGCTTTATAGCTTTTTCCAGACTATCAGAAGACCAGGAAGCCTTTGCAGTTGTTCTGATTCGTACTTTCAGCATCTAAAAACAAATAAAAATGACGTAATTCAACATGCGGAGTTGCGGGTAATAGTGATCACTTGCGGGTAATGGGAGTCACCTGACTCTCATTTCCCACAATTACACTAATGCGAAAAAAAAAATTAAAAAAATCTTCAAAACACTAACATAATCTGAACTGCCCATTAAAATTTCGAATGTCTAACTAATTTCGTGTAAAAGTCTCAATCGCATACTGCAAGGTATTCGACACTTACCTTCTAATTTGCAATGAGGTAAAATTATATCAGTGGAGCACAAAAACAAATCACCTACGTATCTCAATAGCGTGGCCACTGACTGGCGCAGGCTGTTCCAGGCAGCACTGTTGGGTCAGAGCGGGGGTAGGAATGTCATTTTTGCGTTGCTCGCTCGTATTGTTTCGTGGATGTAAGGGTGACTCTTATTACCCGCTGACTCCCATTACCCTATTCTCCCCTAAGTGATGAGTATTATGAAAAAATTCAAATTATGTGTGGAAGATGTGGAAGATTCACAAACAAATCTCGAAAACATGTTGCAAGTGAGGAGATGAACTTAAATGTAATGTAATCTGCAGTGGAAAAACATAAATTGTATCCACAAAGAAGGGCATCTTCTCTTCCAGATGAAACTGGTAAGGATACAATATCAAAGTTTTTTCAGAACAATTTTCATCCATATAAACCACAATATATCCATACGTCCAAACCTGGAGGCTACGATAGACGACTAGAATTTTGTTTTTTTATCCAAGGAAAGCTAGAGGACGATCCTGTTTTGGATGGAAAAATAGTTTTTTTCTCACGAATGTACCTTTGCGTCTAATGGAACAGTGTCTCCGCAAAAATGTCGATGGTTGTCTGACTCCAATCCTCACTTTACGATTAAAACTCGCGATCAATATTATTTTAAAACAAACGTTTTGTGTGGCATTCACAAAGATAAAATAATCAGCCTTTTTTCGACAATCTGAAACTTACCAACGATTTTTTTTTGAAAACCAGTTGCACGATTTTTTTCGTAAATCTTCAAAGTCATGAACGGTAACAGGTATGGTACCATCAGGACGGCGCAACATATTATATTGAGATGGGAGTAAGGCAATATTTTGGAAATATCTTCAATGGAAGATTGATTCATAGATATTTCGATATTTCTGACCAGCTAGGTCGACAGATTTAACCCCACTTTTTCTTCTGATATTGTTTGAAAGAAAAAGTATATCAACACAGGCCATTCATAAACGTAGAACATTTGGAAGCAATTCAGGGTATAACTCTGAATAAAATTAGAAATGTATTGAGGGAATTTTCTTCTAGAACGGAAATCTGTATTATATTGGATAGCTTGAAACAATAGCGAATTGGTGATAAACCATTACACGGTTGTTATGCCATTAACATTATTCGCACTGTGTTTATGTAGTTGATAATTATTGTACAATCAATTATTTTGCTATTATTTTAATGTATTATCAAAATAATGCAACATAGAGTTTAGGAGACGTAAAGGTTATATAAATATCTGATGCTTGCTTTTTAAGTTCAAGACCATGCAGAACTTTTTATAAAGACTTTCTTTCGTAAAATCAATAACAAAGTTTTCCAAATGCTGCGAACTCAAGCAAACCCACGAAATTTCAGTAACAATGATTGTGCAATACTGGTATAATCAAAGTAAACGATAATGTGTACTCCCAAGGTGGGCGGTACTCTCAAAGGCAAAAAAAAAGCAATACATAGAAATGAACCGGCAGCGAACTCCTCAACGTGGACCGTAGACTTGGCGGTTCGTATTGTATAATTTTCACTAACCGAGTTTAATGATTGGCTGAAGAGTCATAAAATTAAATTTGAATTCATGTTACGGTGACGAAAAGAAATCGGGAAATGCGAGGATGGTAATCGCCGTCGTGTTATCAATGTTCAGTTCAGGAACTGATCGCGGTTTGAGCGTTGAAATTCGATATTGGTGCAGTTATAATTACTTGAAATTTTTTGTTATTCGTTTGAAATGTGGCGTCCTTGGACAAGTACTAATAGTAATAACGAGTGTGATAACAAAACAGACTTAGTCCAGTGTAGTGATTCTAATAGCGATGGTGAACAATGCGAAAAAGAAATGCCAGTGAATAAGATTCGGGTGCATTTGAATATTGAAACACGAGAGTATGTTTCAATGTATATAAGAATATACATCTCAAGTTTAGTTTCGAGGGAAACAAACTATTACAAACAACATCAGATCTGACCAAAATTCCTTTCTCAACTGTACGTAAAATAGTCAAAAACACCTTATGAACGCAAGGCGTGATGTGATTCAGGATTACCAAAATCTTCAGATATTCATCTAATAAAATCATTGAAAAAACAATATACGACTGTTACAAAAGCAATGAGAATCCTACAACTGAAATCATAAGGAAGAAATTGAATACTTTCGGCTGCTGTGACAAAACTCATCAGAATTGGATAAAGAAACTGAGATTTAGATTTAATATAATAAACAAATATCAAGCAGAAGAATAGTGGAATTGCGTTACAAATTCTTAGAACAAATAACTGAATATATACAAGCACAACAGCAACTTGGTATGACACTCAAGACACAGTTACGAAAGGGTGCATTGAAGGTTCGAGAATATGTACGCCTAACAGGCCTACAAACAAAAGATCGCGACTAATCATTGTGCATTGCGGAGAAAGTAAAAGATGAGTTCGTAATTCTTTGTAATTATGTGGAAAAAACTTGAGGACTGCAATATTGACTACCATAAGAACATGGGTGCAAATATTTTCGACGAATGGTTTGAAAACACATTGATCCCAAATTTGAATGCGAATAGTGTAATAATTCTTGATAACGCTTCCTATCATTCGGGATAGCTCATCAAAGTAATGAATAAAAATTTGAGGAAAGATGAAATACAAAGATAACTATACCAAAAACTAAAAACTATTCTTCCCCCCTATTCTTGTGTTTTCAATCCAATCGAGTTAATTTGGAGAAAATTGAAATGAACCATCAGGCGTAAAAATAATTTTCCAAAATTAGATAAGAAGGTAATGGAGCTAATTGAAGAAGAAGTATCTAATATTACAGAAGAAGACTGGCAGAAAAAATTTGAAAATAATTTTAGTTGAAAAAGACTATATGGAGATTGGACACTTCCTATTAATGGTGAAAATACATTCATTATAGCTTTCGAAGAAAGGTNAACAAATTGTTTATTGAATAAATAAAGATAATATGAAGTCCAAAAAAAGGATCTTGTGACCCAGGATGTACATTATTTCAGATACAGATTAAATTCTTTATAACATTAACATCAACAGTCTATATGAAGATGAAGCAAACGAAAAACCGTTAAAATTGAATACTGGCGGTTAAATTTCGAAAGGATCAAATTCAAACAATTTACTTATGTAATAAAAAAATGTCGGTTACGCAATGAATTCGAATAAGTTTTATCGGATCTTGCGAGACCACCTATAATCTAGTACGTCTATCTCATCAAACGTCTGGTCTAATAGCATGTTTGGTCTGTAATATTTCAATATAATAAATTGACTTCGAGTTTTTGCAACCTGTATTAGATCCGAGATCTCCCCGTAATGAATTATTATAAGTATTGCACAAGATACTGTTCCTGGTCTACTCAAGCGTAAAAACCTAATTATTGGCATTTAGTTCAATGATGATTAGCGAAGAAACTAAGCTGGGTTTCCTGGTACGTAAGATGAAATTCAACAGCTCGAATACTCATAAAATAACGAACATATAAACAAATCATGGATTTATGCGAGTAGAAAATATAAATTGAAAGATGGATAAAGAAACTAAGATTTAGATTTAATATAATAAACAAATATCAAGCAGTTATGGAAAGCAGAAGAATAGTGGAATTGCGTTACAAATTCTTAGAACAAATAACTGAATATATACAAGAACAACAGCAACTTGGTATGACACTCACGACACAGTTACGAAAGGGTGCATTGATGGTTCGAGAATATGTACGCCTAACAGGCCTACAAACAAAAGATCGCGACTAATCATTGTGCATTGCGGAGGAAGTAAAAGATGAGTTCCTAATTCTTTGTAATTATGTGGAAAAAACTTGAGAACTGCAATATTGACTACCATAAGAACATGGGTGCTAATATTTTCGACGAAAGGTTTGAAAACGCATTGATCCCAAATTTGAATGCGAATAGTGTAATAATTCTTGACAACGCTTCCTATCATTCGGGATAGCTCATCAAAGTAATGAATAAAAATTTGAGGAAAGATGAAATACAAAGATAACTATACCAAAAACTAAAAACTATTCTTCCCCCCTATTCTTGTGTTTTCAATCCCATCGAGTTAATTTGGAGAAAATTGAAATGAACCATCAGGCGTAAAAATAATTTTCCAAAATTAGATAAGAAGGTAATAGAGCTAATCAAAGAAGAAGTATCTAATATTACCGAAGAAGACTGGCAGAAAAAGAAAAGAACTATACCAAAAACTATACTTCACCCCTATTTTTGTGTTTTCAATCCCATCGAGTTAATTTGAGAACAATTGAAACGAAGCATCAAGCGTAAAAATAATTTTCCAAAATTAGATAAGAAGGTAATAGAGCTAATTAAAGAAAAAGTATCTAATATTACCGAAGAAGACTGGCAGAAAAAGAGAAAAAATTTGAAAATAATTTTAGTTGAAAAAGACTATATGGAGATTGGACACTTCCTATTGATGGTGAAAATACATTCATTATAGCTTTCTAAGAAAAGTATATAATCAGAAGTGATTATTGAATAAGGAAATTAGTTAGCTCCCCAACTACATTATTGAAATAGCTAAGTTGCACTATATCGTTTACTTGAACTATACCCACAAATGAAAAAAAATATGCTCGCAAACGAAATATTTGTTATAAACCTGCTGAACAGATAGGTTTTTAAAAAAGGAGTTTCAATTTATCAATCCAAGCTTGGTAAATACCCGGCTCG